ACTTGTCAGCCATGGGCTTAGCATGCGATTTCCATTTAGCCTTGGAGACTTTCACAGCCAGCTGATGTTACTTTTGGTTTTATTTAATATCTGCCCGACGTTATAGGCTGCACATATCTCTGTAAGTCTAATATTGGCCACACAGCTGACTTTAGGTAAACAAAGTCTGCATTGCTGAGGCAATTCCCTTGAAATTTATGGAGAAATTAATGTTTGCTGAAGTCATCTAAGCCTAAATTGGGGCTTTGCAGCACGCTTATTCCATGGAGGCTGGAGAATTAGCTTCTGTTTGACTGGAGCGATTGAGTCAGCCAGGTGCTCCGTACTGGACTGTAATAAAGCTCAGTGAAGTGCGCAGCTCACGTCTCAAGGGAGTACACTGAAACAGAAAAATATCTGAGATAATAATGTAGTCAGGTGATGTTTGTGGGTAAATATATTGCTGTTTTATAGCAACTGTGGAAAATAATAACAAATATGTTTTATCTTCAGTCCTCCAGCTTACTATAACATAAAGAAAAGGAGAATATCAGGAACAAAACATCCTGTAATTATCAGCTATTATTCTTAGGGCGTCTTACACAATAGCCTGTTAATCATTGCATAATTTCACAGGTTCTGCTTTTACTATTGCTTCTTTCTTCAATTAATCTATTTTTTTCTTTATGTCTCTGGCTGCTGCTCTTTTCTTCATATTTGTCATTTGCCATCCCTCAGTCAACATCTTTCCCAATCTGTGGAAACTGGGAGAGGGGGAGCATGAATGAGTTGCATGTTTGCCCACAGCCGTTTGGAGTAACCTTGCAGAGAGAAGTGCCTCTTGGTCTAACAATCAAAAGCAGGTAAACCCAGAGGAATGTTTCCATGCCAACAGTGTGCTGTAACGTTTTCAATTCACCTATTTTTCGCTATAATCTAGGAGATGGATGGCAGACCTCTGCAATGTATCTGGCAGTCAGTCACAGTAGCTCAGAGACTTTGGGTCCCAAGCCATCACACCAACAGCTCCCTTCTGGTTTGTTCAAACTAGTGTTCCATTCAGGTTTGCTTTCGGCGTTAAGATCTGGCTGTGACCACAAAGTGCACACAATAACATATTTATGTGTGTGTACAAGCATGGCACACATGAGCGATCACAGAGTCTTTTATAGCCACAAACAGTCGATTTTACCAGCACGTACATCACTTAGGGATAATAATATTAACTGCTACTCCCAGTAAACTGTCGACCAGCCCCTCCATGTACAGATGCAATTATCTCATCAGGTCACTAAAATAAAAGAGACTTCACAAATTTATTTGCAACATTGTTTCTAATAAAACCCGTAACTCGTAACTTCATTCAGTTTAGTTGTATTAACAATATATGAAAAGAAAACGTATCCTTACCCCCTAAGTAAACAGTTAACTGACCTTATTGTCATATTTTAATTATATTGGTTTTATAGTTGATAACTTTGCTGAGTAGATTTTTTAAATAATTTCTAAAGGGGAACCCCTAGAAAGAAGAAAAGAAGTCAGTGATTATGAGCTAAAGATCTAGTTAAATATGTTATCCATCCATCCATTCAGTTTCAGTGGATTCAGTTTTTCCATTTTATTTAAATCTATGTGAAAGATGATCATAGCTTTTGTGATGTTGCCAACACCACTGATTTGAGAAGTCTAAGTTTGAGCATTGGCAATAAATGAATTGGATTTATATAGCGCTTTTCAAGGCACCCAAAGCGCTTTACAATTCCATTATTCATTCACTCTCGCATTCACACACTGGTGGAGGCAAGCTACGGTTGTAGCCACAGCTGCCCTGGGGCAGACTGACAGAAGCGGGGCTGCCATATCGCGCCATCGGCCCCTCTGGCCAAATGTGTGAAACAGAGGGACACTGCATCCTCATACAGTAGCAAGGTGCAAGTCCCAAGGTAGGTATGTACCCTGCTTTACCATTTATTTTGTCCAAAACGGGAGCATAATTTGCAGAGCATAACCATTGTGCTTATTCAGGATTCTCTCCCTGCCAGCTACAGGAAATAAATGCAGCTTTAAGGCACATCTGCATGGGCTTCCCTTTTCAGACCAGGGAACCAGGTCCATTTCTTAAACACTGTCTATGTTAAATATGCCTCTGTGGTTCTCCTCCCTTTACAAAATGCAAGACTAAAGTTGAAGCAGTAGCCCAAAAGGAAAAGTGAACTACTGTATGTGCTAAACCATTACTGTTTGATAATAAATGCGTAAATTTAGATATCTACCCAGTTACTGCTACTCACTGTGTCACCAAAACTGCATATGTCTCTGGGGAAACTCCAGCTCTTCACACATTTGGACAAAGAGTTGACCAACAATAGGTTTCCACTCAGTTGGTTTGTTACAAATTTTAACAACAAAGGACTGATAGTCAAAGTTAAAATGTGGATCGTCATGCCAAAACAGCATTTCTGGTAACAATATTTCAGATTTGATAAGATTTAAGGTTTACTTCCTGAATCATTAACTTTTATAACTAAAATAAAAATGTGAAAAATAAGTAAAAACTATAATTATTTAAGGACATGGAGGCAATTTCTTAACAACTCTATTTTCACTTAAGTCAACTGCCCAAATTCTTTTGTACCTCAGCAAGTGATTGTCTGATTCACAAGCCACTGTGTACTGAGGACAAAGGACTTAAACAGAGCTATTTCCCAAACACATGTGAACCTAACTATATGTAGGCTACATATATAAAAATAGCACAGTGTAAGGCAGAAAGTGGAGCTGGAGCAAACTGTGTGACCACACAAAGCCAGTGAACGGTAACAACGATGGGAGACTTTTTGAAAAAGATTCAGGTTGGATGAAACTGATTTTTCACTGAGTCAGTTGTCGTGGAAGTTGTGTACTGAGGAGACAGCACAGCGAGAACATTGATGCGGTGCAAAGAAGAAAAAAAGGCAGTTGAACTGAACATCAAAGACAACACCTTCCACCCGCCAACATGGTGCAGTGATGCAACAAGGAGCGCTTGTGTGTTCAGCTCCAAACTGGCCTGCCCGTTCCTGCACACAGGCTCCTTTTATGCATAACTTATTGGCCTACTTTTAAAATACCTACAGATCTGAGGTAGACATCAATACACCCCATAAAATACGCCTTAGCCTTGCAGAATGTTTTGCACACGCTGTGCTTCCATTTCTAAAGTTCAGTCAGACAGTTATGGCCACATTTGTTTAAAGTAGCTATATCGCATATATTTACTGCATTTGGCAGGAAGTACCTTTTATTTATTTCCTTCATTTAAAAAGTTTCACTTGTTCATTTTGTGTATGTACTGGACTTCCGAAGACTCTTTATAATGAGGGCTGCTGCTCTACTTTTAAACATCTCTATCACTATTCATTCATCCTTTTATTTCTAAGCAGTTTGTTTTGTTGCTAGAATTATAGGTTTGAGTGTTTGTGTCAATTTCATTTTTTTGTCATTTTGTTTCTTTTTTACAATTTCCCCAATGGGAGCATTAAAGTTTCATCTTATGCCTGCTGAACAAAAACAGATTTATTATTTGTGATACGCTAGCACTTCCCAACCATTTTTTAGTTATTGCCTTGGATTAAACAGATTAAAATCTGAACCTCGAGCATAAAGGAGTAGATTTACTATGCTTTTTAAGAAATCTAAGTAGCTGCACAACTACAATGTATTTTTAGTTTTTAACCCTTTTCAATCTGCCACAAACATCACTTTTAACTGCCCACTTTAGACCCCATGAAGCTTCTCTAGTACCTGATGGCAAAAGGTATATAATTATGATGAATGAAAGATTTTTTTTTTTTTTTTGGGGGGGGGGGCAGCAGCATAAATAGCATTACCAGCAGTCAGTGGCATCATCAACGGCACTGAGCATGATGTGCTGCTGCCATCTAGTGCCTAACACTTCACACTATTTTTTTTAAAGGTGAGAACAATAATGACAAATATTTTATAGTAAATCCTGGCAAGAAAAAGAAAAAAAACAAGAAACAGAAAAACAACTCAATATCAGATTGCACAGAATCCCATCTACCTGGGAACAGCCTTAAACAAATAGCTTCACTTTGGTAGCTTCAGTCACGAGGCGCTAAGCAATTAGGCACACTACAGGGGACTTATCAAATTTCATTAACTTTGAGCAAGACTATTATCTCAGCATGTTAGCAGTCCTTGGATGAGAGCTGGGGGTATGTTGTTTTACGTGAAGGCACGCTGAATTAAAAATTAATCAGCTGCACTTTACGCCGCTGCCATGATGCACAACTGTGAGGATTAATTGCACTACTTGACTTCTTGCAAAATAGCTCAGCGGATGTCCCATTAAAGGTTATTAACAAAGAAATGTGACCACTCAACCACAAAGCAACCTTAAAATTGAGTTTCCACCTGAAATATTTTACTTCCGTGCTCCTGGTTTGTTTTCAAACGACAGGCACAGCCGACCTGTCTAAAAGCTTCCCCACCCCATTATCAAATTATCAAGGCTATTCCATTCCTATTGTGTTTTCTTCCCATCAGTCTTTCCCCACGCACCAGTTTCCATGGATACAAACCATTTCTCTGCAGTTATCTACCTATTACAAGGATGTCTACATTTCACCTAAATGAAAAAAAAGCTATAAGGCTTGCAACTCAATGTTCATGGTTTACTACACAATTATAATCTAATGACATGAAGTCACTAAATACTGCTGAGTAGCCATAACCCCAGTTAATATCGATCAAGTTTCAGTTTTACTCATATTTAAAACCTCTTGCTATATAAAACCTGTTTGCTTAACTCTTAATGAACAGCAACTCAAAGTAGGTGACCAACTAAGTTATTTTATTTAAAATGGAAACCTCTTTAACTGCCTGACCAACATGACTTTGCTGCTGAGCAAAACCAAAGGTCATTAATAGTGTTTGATCGCTCATCTAAAAGTCCTTTTTATCCATTGTGGGGGAAAAAATATCAAATTCATGCCAATTAATAACCACGCAAAAATCAATCAAATTGGACAAAAAATTTATTTGCAATGATTAATTATCCCATCATGGCCAGACTTCTGACAACTTGACCCATCCGAGGACGTCAGCACAAGACATCTTAGTCCAGCTGTAAGAACACAAAACAGGTGTTAGTTATTGTAAAGAGACGGGCATATAGCATGCTTGTAAGGAGCAAAAAGCAAAACAGCATGAAACTCATGCAAAATTAAAACAACATTTAATTCATGGGCTTCATCCTCAAATCAGTAAAGCCAGTCTTAATGAAACTTTATACAGTGGGAAATTCAGTTGATGTTCTGTGATGTAAAGTTATGATCAATTTGAGAGGCAACAGAAAAAATACAACTTACCTTAACGAAGCCGATGTCTTTAGCGTACTGCCTGAAGCACTGGCGACACATGTTGATCCCGTATTTACGGATCAAGCCATGTCTGTTAGAGCACACTCGGCTGCAACAACATCAGAGTAGGATCAGTCAACGCATATATACGCTTTTATGTACCAGTTATACAAAACCCTGGCGCCGATTGTCGTAAACTATGAGCCGGTGTGCTCTTCTGAACACCGGGGCTAACTTTTAACAGTCCTGTAATAATGCTATTCTCAATAACGTTAAACATTTGTTAAATTTCTTTCGATCAAGAAATTACACGCCTAACTCATATGCATTAAGGGCTTTCGGGAACTCTAGCAGTTATAAAAACCAAATCCGGTCAAAAGACACACAAGGCTGATGCTAATAGGGAAGGAGGGAGTATTTGCCTCCGCCATATTAGCTCAGGTTCAGGGCACATGCGGTGCACGTTTGGTAGCATTTTTTTTAAAGATGGGGAGGCCAGAAACACCTTATATCACCTCAACTTGATCACGTTAACCGATAAACAACGCAACAAAGTAGACACTGACCAGGAGCGGGATCCCTGTCCGAATTTTCTGGGGTGACTCCAATAGAGCTGCTGATGGCCCATCTTGTCTCTTTTCGCTCGAGTGTCGGAAAGGAAGAAGAACGGGCGCGCGTGCGCAAATAGGCTTTCTGGTGCTCTATTTCCGGCTTCGGGTTGTTGTGTACCGCCTCCTAGCGCCTAACTAAATTTAAAATACTATTTTTTTTTTTTACATCGCCAAAACTAATCAATTTGAATTAATAAATACCACAGCCCAATGGGTAACCGTGACATCATTTAACCCTCTTACAGCTCTAAGCCCTGCATTTAAATAAAACCATGTTATATTAAACTATTCAGTCTTCATCTCGGAAACAATTGTCTGTTGACCATAAGCACTTAAAACAGCAAAGTGCTGGCTCTTTCTGTTTAGCGTGAGCATCTGGTTGCACACATAATCCTTCAAATTAACTCCTGACATGCACAAATGTACTGCAATAAAAAATCATGCAAACCACAAATGCCTGAAATTGTTCATTGATTACCCACAAAATCTTCATTTAAGATTATAACCAAACGCAGTCAGACTAAATAAATAATGTGTTTAACTCCAGTTTCTCAAAAAGCTACTCACAACCAGATACATAATTATTGTATATTCTAAAAAAGAAAAGAAAGAAAGAAAGAGATATACTGCAAATAAGATAAGATAAGATAAGATAACCTTTATTAGTCCCACACGTGGAAAATTTGTTTTGTCACAGCAGGAAGTGGACAGTGCAAAAGTTATGAGGCAAAAATTAGGATACAATAAGAATAAATACAGTACACAACTGTACAGAATAGAATAAAATACTATATACAGTAGAATAAAATAAAATAAATATACAATAAGATAAAAATAGAATACAAATACAAATGCTATATACAACTGAGTAAGAATACAACGATGACAGAAAGGATTATTGCACTTAGTATTATTGCATATGTATGGATTTGTGTGCTTGATCAGTTAAAGTTTTTATTATGGAGTCTGACAGCAGTGGGGAGGAAAGACCTGCGAAATCTCTCCGTCCCACACCGTGGGTGCCAAACTAAATACAAACTTTAAATAATTCAATTATATATAAATTTTCCAAGTAATTTCGTGACATAGGTACAACGTCAACTTTAAATTAAAACATTGATTGGTACATTGAGCTTGCATGATTCATTCTTTGAATAATCCAGCCTTTGATTTTATATATTTCAGTTGCATTTTACTCAGAATTATTGTGTCATTTTTATCAGGGCAAAGAATCTTTTTTTTCTTTTTTTTTAATAGTATGTTTCAAATTTGCAGAAGATCCCCTGCTGTTACATAACATCTTTGGCATCATCTTTTATTCTCAATAAAGGAGACAAACACTGAACTACTGAAGAAGAAGGAAACAAGCAGGTTTATAAGGAAAATGCACTGCATCTTAGTACCAAAACCCCATGTCCTCACTGAGGGAACAATGCATAAGTCTGTCAGGAAAATTTAACAAGAGATTATTATGGCAGCTGTCCATGACCTATCTTGGGAGAGGTTAGGTGATGGGACAATAGCTACACAAAGGCCCAAAGTGCATATTCTTCAGCAGAATAGCTGGGAAATAAGAAACTGTTTTTTGAATGGCAAAGTCAGGATATGTTCACCTTAAACCAATTGAGATGCTATGGGATGACTCAAAGAGGGATGTTCAATCAAGATCTATTGTGGGAACAGTTTGTAGGGAATATTGATCCAAAATTCCTCTTCTATGTTGTACACATCTTACATGGAGCTACATGTAGCATCTGATGGAGGTTGGTATTGCTGAAATAGGTTCCACGAGTTAACAAAATTCAACACTCCCCTTTTTTGGGTCTGCACTGCGAGTGATCAGCGAAGAAGAAAAAAACAAAAACAAAAAAGTAGCAATTAAGGCAGTCTGTGTAAATTTGCAACACATTGTATAAATAATCAAGAAATCCCAGTGTTGTGCCAAAAAGTGATTTCTGTTATTTGCCAACAAATAATTGCCAGCATTTAAAATGTCGATGAGTTGTTGGCCTGCAATCCGTCAAACATAGCTATTATTAGTAGTGATTATTAAACTCGGACCCTCTTTCACAGTGCGCCTTTTGGTCTCCCTCCCCTCAACCCCAGGAGGTTGTGTCAGATGGCAGCCTCTCCCTGGTCCTACCAGAGGTTTCCTCCTGCTAAAAGGGAGTTTTTCCTTTCCACTGTTGCCAAGTACTTGCTCATCATCTGACTACTGGAATTCTCTCTCTATTATTGTAGGGACTTTACAATATAGAGTGCCCCGAGGACACTGTTGTTAAGATTTGGTACTAAATACACTGAATTTAATTCAACTGAACTTAATTGTAAATTATATCAAGCCATTTAAAGCTAGAAAGATCATTCTAGTCTGTGACTTAAAAAACAACAACAACTTTGATACAGCCTTTATTCATCCAGGTAAAAAAATGACACTGACATTAAAAACTTTTATAGTCTATAAAGCCAAAAATGACTGGTTTGAATATAATGTAGGTATAAGGTAATAAACAAAGAAACAAAAAACAAGTAATTTCTTTATTTTATATATAACCCCTTCGTAAATCTTGTTTACCACAGACTATTTACCCCCCAACAAGCACAGATTTTAGACATCCAAAAAAGCAAATCACACATAAAAACATGGGAAATTACTTTTGGGATGACACCGGTAATTCAAACAGGCCCAATAACTATTCCTAGCCACTCAAACCTCATCATAAGGTCAGTTTAGAGAGCATAGTATCTGCAGCAGCAGGAGCAGCAGCGGGGATTCAAGATATTTCGGGTATCTCTGGTGCCCCCCGCTGGCCCGTTGCATTGTGGGACAGCGACAGGCAGTGTTTTCACACAGCTAGTCGACAGTTGCGTTTGCCGTGCATTTTGCAGAACGGTATGGAGGAGAATGGGAAGCCACCGTACTGACTCTTCACAGTGAAAGCTCCGCACGGATTCTGCGGTTTTAGGTAAACTACTGTGAGCGTGGTTGTTGTGGTTCGACACGGTGTTGACGGTGGTTCGGTCCGGGCGGGTTACTTGCAAGTTGCTAGCTGACGCCGTTGCTAACTTGCTATTAGCATTTCCGTGATGCTGGCTGTCATAAAAGAGCGAAGCCGAGGCGCCCGCCGTTGTTTTCGGCTGCTTTCTGTGGGTTTTGTGTTAGTCGGCGAAATGCTAAAAACTGTATCTCGTGGTTTTAAAAAATATCGATTGAAGCCGCCGCTGGCTCGGTGTTGTCCAACGGCGGCCAATTTAGGACAGAAAAAAAACTGATGGGGTTTGTGCTGTAGGCTCCAAGACGAAACTGCACATTTACATGATAGGCGCTTGTACTGCTAGTATAAACCGGTTTAGGTCACGATAAAAGAAATTAAATGGATTAAAATGGGAAATACTTTAAGCTGTAGACCAAATATTTGAGTTGATTTGGCAGGAGGCGTGTGGAAAGCATTTAGCACGGAAAAGCCGAATGTAGGTATGCAAATTGCAATAATTTGAAGAATGTGGGTTAGAGAGCTGTATCGTTTTACTCCTGCATTTAGCTGCTTTCCTTAAAGTACACATCACATATTAATACATTTCTGTGCACATTTACTAATAGCGTTTGGGGCTTACTTTAATGTATATGTCTGTGTGGGGCAGCTACAGGGAATGTGTTTACTTCTGTTATCACAGACTCTAGTAGGTATCAGATACCTTTCTCAGGCAGTGTCGGTGACCCACTGCAGTCTGGACTGGATGCTACCATTAAGTAGAGTTTTCAGGCAACCAGAAAACAGAATAAATGGTCAGGTAGTCAGCCTGAGAGACTACTAATTTAATAACGAATAAAGTATGGAGGTTTGCTCAGCAGAAATGAGCGATCAATATTGATAATGCAGTTAAGGAGGAAAATAAATGGAGAGCAAATTAGAAGCATTGAGCTTTAACCAACATTAACGATATAAGCGAAGATGAAGTATGGGGTAAGGGTGAGGATTGGATGAAATCACAATTGTGGCGTTTGTGATGCTCTTTGTAGGGGCTGGCTGGCAGCCAGTTGCATGTATATTTCTAATAAAGCTCGGTGATTATCATTTATTGAATGTCTGTGAAACCATAATATATACTTTTACATTGTCATCAGACTAAATGCATTTTATTGGATATGTTAACTGTACTCTGCAGATAAGGGAAGATAAGTAAACTGGAGGTGCTTTCAGGTATTAGCTCAATGCAAAGTACAGTAAATATACAGAAATCTGTATTTGATATGGTCAATGTTCTGCCTGTAAAACAGCAGCAGTTATGTTGACAGTTTTTGGTGGCACTTGGCAGGTAGCTTGTTTTAAGCACTTTGTAAAATCTGCTTCTTTTTCATTTGAATTTTGTCTTCCTTGATTGTAGCCCCTGTCTAATAATCTAATCTGATTAATTCTAACTAAACTGATCTCAAAGCTATATGATAAACAACTGTCTCTGTACCAAGTACAACATTTTCAAGAAGGATAGGCTCTGTTTCATTTAACTTTCTCCTGAGTGATCATTTTACTTGTAATTATATGAAAAAAAAAATTCAGCTTGGTTGTTATGCGATGTGTATGTTAAATTTGTCCATTGTGATTATAGAATGAGACGCTCTTGGGGAATAGTTCCTAAACAGGAATTTTTTCCTGGCATCTCCTACCCTGATAACATTATTTTGTGAGTATTGCTTTACATTTGGTTTGGAAGTCAGATGTCAGAGCTGAGAGTGAAATCACTCCATAGTTAGTGGGTTCTGGCAGTAAAGTTGGAAAAACAAGAAAAAAACCAAGATATTTTTGGTTCACAGCCAGGTAAAGCCATTCAAGTATCACTAACAATACAGCACAATGCTTTTCTTTTATGTGCACGTCAAAACTCAGCTGCAGCACTTTAACAGATAGACTGGTCAGTGTTCTGCATGAAGTACCTAAAACTTTCATAGTACTGCACTGTATGTTTGAATAGAAGAAGTTCAAACCGATTGACATGGTAACTTAAACTGCAGGTCTGATTATTAGCCATTTACAGAGATTGATGCTGTTTCCTACAGTTATCACCATATTAGTTTTGCGCATTTGTCGTGTAGGTGGTT